GATTATCTTAATTACAAAGCACAATTTCCTTAATAGCTACAAAACTGTAAGTTTGATCTGTGTGGAGATTGGTGACTATTATTATGTAATTAGTGATCATATTAATGGTGCAGTGTATTTAGATATAATTTGCATATGCAAATGAAATTTACCCGATAGAAATATGTGGCTCCGCTAATGGCTCTGAGCACTTAAAAACTGAATTACATCAGGAGGCGAGGTCCTGGCCAGCTGTGTGGCACCACTGTGCCCCCAGCCCCTCTCAGCTGCACTGCAGCTGCCGACAGCTGGGCACCGCCTCGTGCGGCACCGCTCTGCACCGCCCTGCACCGCCCTGCTGCACGCAGCGCTGGGTGCAGGACTGGCGCCTCCTGCAGCAGCAGCTCCTCCCCTCTGTTTTTACAAAAAGCCAGATACATGTCAGCTAAGGGAAATCAAAGCTTGCAGGGCCAGAGCCCCTAACAAAAGGCATTGTGTTCCTTTACTGTGCCCTGGTCCCAACCTGCAGTACTGCAAATGGCTGAGGTGCCAAGAACATGAGTGCTGGAGGAAGCAGTCTGCCTCAAGCAGGATGTTTCTCTCATCAAGGGGGGAAATTTACAGCCACAGCCAGGGAACACTGCAGCCATTGTGGGTGCCTCCTCAGATGCTTTTTGCAACTGTTGACCCCAACCTGAGTTGTGCACGCTGGCATTGCTGTCAGCCTGCTGCGGCCCCACAGGCTCTGCTCCCTTCAGTCAGAGCTGGAGGTGATGGAGCAGTGTCTGTGTTTCCTTCAGAGCACGACCCCGCTGTGCTGCTCAGAGCTGTGTGAGCGCCCCACGCTGTATCAGCTCTGCTCTAATTAATTAAGGGCTGTTGCTTGGGAGCAGCACGTGCTTAGGTGTAAGCTTTGAAGTTCAGTATGTTGCAGAGACTTCAAAGGAGACATTTTATTAAAAAATAATAAAATCAAGAGCTCCCAAACACTCGCGATCCGAAGAGCTTGTTTGAAGTTGCTCCATGCTGGCGATGTGGGGCAGCCGCAGCACCCAGGTACCATTAGCTATTACCATGCAGTGCTTAACCCTCATGTTATTTAAAGAGAGAAAATAATCAAAGCCAGGAGTATTGCTCAAGTGTTTTCAGGGCTTGATCTAGCAGTACAGAACTAATTGTGTTGTGTCGTGAGTTATGCAGGAAATAGAGAAAATCAAGGCTGACAATCAAATTAGCAAAAATGTAAATTTATTCCAGGTCTGTTTTTTGAATCAGTGTCATTCAGGATGAACAGAAAAGTTGTGGCTGTTTCCATTGCCAGGACTCCTCTCCGTGGTGAGCCTGACCTTCCTGGGGAGCTCTGGGCAGCTCCAGGCTGCGCTGTGGCCTGAGGTGCCTCGTGCTGGGGCCGTTCCCCTGGGCTGCAGAGCTGGAGGTGCTCCTGGAGGAAGGTGGTGAGCTGCTAGGTGCTGCTGTTTCTCCTCTGGGGTTTGGCTGTCACAGTGCTCTGGAGATGAGTAGCGGTGCTGCTCCATATGGCACATGGCACACATGCTGTACTATTCGGGCTGCTGTTTACATGGCTGTGTACAGAAGAGCAGAAGTAGGAGGCTTAGCTGTACATCGTGGAGGGAGCAGCTCGCTCTGGAAAGTTCGTGCCCTCCTTCTGTTGCCTTGCAGGCTGCTTTTCTCTGCACTTGTGAACAACTTTCTTTGGGGCTGAGACCACGGTGTTCCTCAGCTCTCAGTGTCCTGCACAGTTCCGCACATGGGTGCAGGCACTGAGCTGTGCTGCGGTGGTAGTGCATTCAGGGCTGTGTGTTTTCCTGTGGGTTATGGAAGCGGTTATTGATGTTTAATTTTCAGTGCAATGCAGGAAAGTATTTTGTTATTCAGTTATTTAAATATTTTTAAGATCAGCAAGTGAAAATTCAAGTGTAAAAGACCGTGCAGAGAGCAGTGAAAATAGCCAGAGCTACAGAAGCGCATGGAGAGGATGTGAGGAGGGGTCAGAGGGCTGTGCCACGTCCCCATGGCTGCGCTGTGAGGCGCCGGCACTGCCGCAGTGTGCACACCCAGCAGCACGGCACTATTTGTCTGCACCCAGGAGCTAAATATGACAATGTTAGCATTTTTCATTTCCCTGACGTTACCATTAATAAAGCAATGATCCAAAAGAAGCTTTGCTGAGTCTGTTCTTTATGCTTCCATCACTCACGACTAGATAATTTCACACAGGATCATTTTTAAATTAAATGACGATAAAAGTGCTCCGCTGTCCTGTGTTCACTAGTTCATAGAAGTCTATCAAGTCATTAATGTGTCATGACAAACTGCTAGTTGGATTCGAGAATAATTAATTATTTGCATAAATAACAGGTTGGACTTGGTGCCTTGCATGGAGCGTTGGGCGCTGGGACGGCTGCGGGTGGACGGAGCTCCGCCGCTCGTTGTGCTCCACGGCCTTCGGCAGCGGCTGCTTCAAGAAACCAGCTGATCGTTGGAGATTTCAATGAACAATGATACAGATTTTCATAATCACCATTAATCACCACATATTTTTCAAGATAATTACAGCAATTATTATTTAGATTCCTCTTTATGTGCACATTGTAGAAAAGAACAAGTGCTTATTACGCCGGGTAGTGTAGAGAACTACAGTCTGAAGTTCTTTGTCATCCAGAAACTCATTATGTTAACTGATGCTGTCTGTGAAAGTTCGTCAGCGTGTTTAAATGAGGGTAGCATTGGCAGGTCTGATTATTTAAATCTGGTAGCTTTGCTAAAAATATAGTTATTCTAGAAAGATGAATTACTAATTTGACAACCGCGATTTAGCTGGAGTCTGCAGCAAAGAAGGCGGCATCTATCATGTGCTCAGAGTGGGTGACGGTGCTCCTCAGGGCACAGGGGGAGTTTCTAAGTCAGCTAACAGCTCGTGCTTACAGCCAGGAGGGGCTGTGGGGCGCGTGGCCCCGCAGTGGGCTGATGGACTTCTCCGGAGTTTGGGCTCAGCACTTCTGGCCGTGGGCTCTTTGGGCACTCTTCTGATTCCAGCAGACGAGCTAATTGCTCGTGACCATCAGGGAGGAGCTGTTTCTCAGAGACATTAAGCGGCGCTGACATTTTTCTTTCTGAGATCCCTGTCTGTTTTTTTCTGGTTTTGAGAGCGGAGCAGGCAGCTCCCTGATCTGTTGCAGATGTTCCGTGGAGGGGAGAAGCCATCCGGGCGCAGCGCTGCGGCTCTCGGCAGGCCTTCCCCTCCGCTGCCTGCCCAGCACAGCAGCGCAGGCCGGGCTCTGCCCAGCTGTGGGCACTCTGCAGCGCCAGCCATCACTGCCCCAGCACGGCGTGTGAAAGTGCCGTGAGTTCTGCCTGGCTGTGCAGAGCTGCTGGGCGAGCTGCTGGCCTTCTGCCTTGTAGTGTGATGGGTCTGCCGTGCCAGCTCCTGTGCACACTCCCTGCGCTTTGGGACTGTGCCATTAATAACACGCTTCCATGCATCGTGCCATTCTTAAGTATGATCGTTAGGATAAAGGGCATATACTTAATTACAGGCCTGCTTAATTACAGCTCTGTTGAAGCTCGTTTGTTTGGGAGAGTGCTAATTGTGCTGCTGGGCCCTTGGCATGCCCCGCGTTCAGCTGCTCCTGGCAGGGCGGGCGCAGGGCAGCGCGGCCCATCCTGCAGATCGCTGCACAAACAGCGGCGCGAGCGATCAAAGCAGCTTCTGCGGGGGGAATGGATGCAGATGGTCTTCCAGGTTCAGAACTTTCCAGGGTTTTGTGACGCTGCTTTTCATCTGTTTCCTTTTGTTTCATGAAACACCGTGGCTGCCACATAACACCTTTGATAATGAAATGATCTCAGTGGAGTGGGGGTTTTTTTGTTTTCATTTGGTTTGGTTCTTTAAGTCAAAAATAGTGTGTCAGATGCTAAGTATTCTTAAACGACTCATTAAATCACTAACGTAATAACTCGCTGGTGCTGATGGCAGTTAGGAAACAGCAAGCGGGGAGATGCAGGCTTCAGGGGTGCAGATGCTTTGTGAAAGAAAACCATATTTGAGGATTACTGGAGGGCATTTCAGGGGTTAAAGTTGGCCTGGTTGAAGTTTTTATTTCCTTGAGAGCTGAAACTTAAAGGTGTAACTGACACAAAGCGTGTGTGTCTGGGGCTGCACTCTGCCTTAGAAATGTGCCCTTTTCAGTCTTGTGTGGAAATTGCTGAGATGCATGCTTCAGAAGTAAGTGGCTCACTTGTACTGACATATCTTGTGGGAGGGTTTCTGTGAAGTTTCCAAGGCAGCGATAACAAGACAGGAACACTGAGCATCACTGCGTTATCAGAGAAGAATATACAAGACATTAAAATAGAAGAAATCCTCTTAATATCATTAAGGTGGTGCTGCAGAGAGTGCCTAGCACAGTGACGTGTCCGTGTGCCTGTCCTCTACTTCACTGATTTCTGTCCCCCAGAGGCCATTTGCGTTTTGTTTCAGCTCTGTTTCTTGCTGCCAAATCTCGAATGATGACAGCCAGGCAATGGAAGGGGCTGGCAGTAGTTCTGCCCAGGTAGCAGTTCTTACAGCTTTGCATTTGGAAGGTGAAAGTTACCTGAACAGGTGTTTTCCTTTTCCTCTTGCTCAGACACCAAGTTAGCTCAGATGGATCTCTGTGGTAGTGTTAAATAAATATCTGTCCTTTCAGAGTGTTTATTTTGCGTTGCAAACACCATCCCGTTTTGGCATCTGGCCCAAATTGGAACCAAACTTAAAACTGAGACCATGAAATTACATTGAGTAGAGCAAGGAAGGTTCATTGAGCCGCTGACTTTGTAGCTGTGTCTTGAATGGAGAGAAACCGCAGGGAGATTGGAGGGAGAAATGATTGTCAGTAACGTCCATGGAGCATCAGTCCGATGTCACTGCTGTGTACACTTGGTATGTTTTTGTGAGCTTGAAGTTGCACACCAGAAGTGAGCTGGAAAAGTAACATCTCTGCTTGTTTTGTCCCTTACAGCAATGGATGGAGTGCCTTTCATGATCTCGGAGAAGTTTGCCTGCGCTCCTGAAGGGGTGAGTTGTCTTCATTCTCATTCCCGTGTCCATAGTTTGTCTGTTCATGGGGAGTGGTCACAAGGCATTGACACAAACTGCCTGCTTCTGGGAGCTGATCTCTGGGAACCCACATCTTGCTGAGCTGTAGGGCAGAAGCAGCCTGGGGCCAGGTCTGCACAGGAGCTGACTTCTCCCAGGAGAGGAAGGTTTAACACCATTAAAATGGGAGTGGCAGCGTGGCTTTGGGCACTGGAAACACCTTTTATTTCTTATTAGAGATTTGAAGAAAGCTGCAAATACTCATGTCTACCACATTTCTATGCCACTGATGCAGCATCGCAGAAGTCAGCCTCACAGGTTCCACTGTGCACCCTGAAGGTCCGGCCAGTGTAGCAGTGCGATGCCAGGTCAGGCGCTGTGCCCACGGCTAGGCCGGGCTCCTTCCTCCCACTGCCTCACTTGAGGGCGATGCCGGGAGCATCACCGCCTTTTCTGCCCTAAAACTAAGTGCAGTTGGCATCACCTGGGCCTTCCAGAGCTGTTGAATCACTGTGAGCACTGGTGGCTGCACATGGAGCTGAGGAGCTGCGGCTGACCCGAGATAGCAGGGTTGCCATGGCTACGTTGGAGGAAATCCAATTCCGATGTGAAAATGTGCCATTGTGTTTACCAATTCCAGCCTGGAAAGTTTAGAGAGGTGCTTGAGTCCTAATGACACCACAGCTGGACCTCTGCAGAGCGCCAGGAGCAGGAACAGCGATAGAAAAATGATTCTAGTGGTCCTGCTGCCCTCTGGCTTGAGAGATTATTTAAGTCAGGGCATCTGTGGCGCAGCAGCAGAGCAGAGAGGTCCCCACACACAGCACGGTGGCACAGCCAGGGCATCCCCACGCACAGCACACTTGGGCCCTGCGGGAGCTGCTCAGCATCGCATCCTGCAGCTCACAGCGGTCCCACAGCACTGACCGGAGTTGGTGGGCTGGAACTCAGAAGCCCTGAGAGCCTAATGCAACCCATTAACAGTTCTTTAATCCATCTAATCACTAAAACAGTATCTCTTTTAAAGTCAATTTATGAGAATCTGTTACAGCAAAAAACGTCAGCTGTGTCTGATTTTTCCCACCATGCTCCTGCTTCGTACATCCTTTTTCTCGCTGACACAACCTGTGTGTGCAGCCGGATGCAGTTTTTCACATCCACTGCTCTCTGCAAGGGTTGTTTATGGGCCGTTATTCCCGGAAAGCTGGGTCCCCTGTTGCAAGGACAAGCACAGAGAGATTAGGCTGTGCTAATCCTCCCCTCAGATCCTTTAGACACCATTGCCACCATATGGTCACTTTGGTCACTTTGTTTCCCCGCCCGTGCCACTCACACCTGTGTGCTGCGGCCAGACAAAGCCTGTGGGCAGTGCGGGGCATGTGCTGAGGGCAGCGAGGTGGCTGAAGATTGCCCTATCTGAAGTGATGCAGTAATGGGTGTCAGCTGTCCCCGCTTAGGGAGAAAGGCATTAGAGCTGTTATCCCTAAACCAGCTTCTGCTTCTTCACTCTTGTGGTGCACTAAGAAATAGGATTATGCGTGCGTTTACAGATGGTGCCTCTAAATCTCTGGTGATAGAATCTTTGCTGACTTTAAACAAAATGAAAACAAAACAATAGAAAAAAAAATCAACAAACTAAATTGGACATTTGTTTGTTTTTTTTCCCCACAGATGCAGCCAGTTGATCTCTTGGGCATCACAATCAAAAGCCTTGCAGAAATTGAAAAGGAGGTAGGTACCCAGTCATACACTGAGCAAAAGCTGTATGAGATCTGTGCTTATTTGGTTGTAAGATCCTCTGCCCTGTGGTAAAGCTCTCATCTTTCCCAACTCACTGTTTGTGGATGAAGTCAGTTTTGAGTCAAATAGTTAATATGGAATTAGAAACATCTATAATTTGTGCCTACTGATTCTTCATGTATTGAATCCAGTGGCAAAGTCTGCTGCTCTTCAGTTAGTTCCAGATATCACTCTTATTTAACCTTTCTTATCATCAGAATGCATTGCCTTTGTGCCTCCTTGCTCTCAAACACCTCTGTTGTGCATGCCGTCAGGGTTAAAGGCTGTGCTGGGAGACTGTGAGCACTGGGGCTGGCACCTGCTGGCTTTCCTCACACCCTCCTGATCCATTGCAGGCTGTGTATTTTTCAGAGTAATGAAAAGTCTAATTATGCAGCCCATATTCCTTGATGAAGTATCTTGTCTGCACATAGATAGCTGCAAATATAAATATTGTGAATTTCTGCATGACTTTATTTCCCTTGCAAGCAATAGCACCATTAAAGCCAATCTTCTGGATTTCCAAAGCAGCAAGAATGTTTTCCCTGGAGCTAGATGCCTTGCAAAAAGTATTCCCAGAGAATTCCAAGAGTTATTGTTCTCTGTCGCCACATTTGCAGATGTATGCACCCATCCTCCAAGCTGCACAGTGAGCCCAATGAAAGGACTCCCCCCTCTCAGGAGAATCAGGGAAAAGAGGTGCCTTCTGCACCCTCAGGCTGTGTCTGGAGCCAGCCTCTCGCTGCAGCAGGCCCAGGACCTGCACGGCTGTGTGCTGGGAGTGTGTGAGCAAATGGTGAAACCCAGTGAGAGCAGAGGGTGAAGACTCTTGGTTTTAAGATGAGGGCGCAGTTGGCCTGTGCCCAGTTCAATGCATGTATGGCAGTGAGGAGCAGAAGCCCTCAGCATTGCTGCCGTCTCCTTGCAGAACTGCAGCGAGTTGCGCTGCTGGTCCTCGTGTCCCAGGCAGGGAAACTTCCTGTGTGAGGCAGGCAGGCCAGGCGGGCTGCACGTGGTGCAGCAGTGCAGCAGCAGGGCTGTGCTGTGTGCGGCTCCGGCAGGTTGGGCTGCGTGGGCCTGTGCTGCTCGGGCTGCTGCAGGCCTCGGCTCTCCAAGTGAGGCGTCCTCGTTAGCTGAGCTTTGAGCTGAAAGTCTGGAGTCTAATTAGTGAAGTATGCATCTAATATTAATCATTCTTTTTAAACTGACAAGGAGGGCTGCCTGTTTAACCACTTAATGGCTTCAAGTTTTCTTAGGCTGCTTTTTGCAAATACATTTAATGAAGAAGTTGTAAATCTAAAGGAGCTTAAAATTTTAATTTTATACAGAAATATTTTTCCTTGTTCTCATGTTTGTAGTCAATTCTCCAGAGTGCAGTCACATGAAATGTTCTTTAAATGAACATATTTGCTAACTGGCATGATTTCAGTTTTTAAAACATCGGTTCCAGCAATTAGGCATTTTTTTCAGTTCCCAAATGACTAGAGAAATTCGTCTTGATTATAATTGCTCTTAGCCACGCATATCTAATTTGTGTCTTTTTAAGTGTTAATTAGTAAACAGTTTGAGCTGACATCTTTATGTGTTTGTGTGTTGAAAAATGAGGCTTATTGCTTCTGTAGCTCGGGGTGGTGCTGCTGGCTGCGACATCGTGACATTGAGGTGCAATTAATGAAGACATGCCTGCCAATTAAAAGGCGGTCTGGAAGCGCGGCTCGCTGACACGCCGCCCCGCAGCTGGCAGCGCTCGGTGCCGCGCGGACAAAATGGAAGCTGCGCGCGGTGCCGCGGTTGCCGTGGCAGCGCCAACTCCCGTCGCGCCGCGCGTGCACCGTGACGCGGAGGAGGCCGGGAGGCGACTGCAGCGCAGCCCGGGAGCGGTCGCCGAGCACCCCCTAGTGCCCAGCGCCTCCGTGCACCGCGCGACTCGGCTCCCGCTCCGCCCGCAGACGAGGCCGGCGCTCGGGGTCCCGGTGCGGCTCTCGCTCGGCCCCGCCCGGCGCTGTGCCGCGGTGCCGCCGGGCGGGCGGGGGCGCGCCCGGGCTGACCGCCGCCAGGTGGCGCTGTGGCGGCGGCGGCCCCGCGCCTCGGAGCTCGGCGGTGCTGCCCGGGGTGAGCGGTCCGGGTTGGCCGAGACCTGCGGGCTCAGGGGCTTCCGCCCAGGTTGCCGAACCGACGGTTGTAATTACGGCGGTACGGCTTGTGTAACCGGGCGTGCGGCGGGGACTCGTCCTGCCCGGCTGCCCGGTGTGGAGGGCGGCGCAGCGGGCGTGCCGGGTTAACGTGGGACTGCTGGAGAGGGGTGATTCTCCGGAGTGCCCCCCGCCCCGCCTCCCGCTCGGGTCGCTCCCCCTGGGGCCACGCCGGGGAGCCCGCAGTCGGGTGTCCCACGGCGCCTCTGTCTCGCTTTCCCGCAGTACGACTACAGCTTCAGGACGGAGCAGAGCGCGGCAGCCCGCCTGCCGCCCAGCCCCACGCGCTGCCCGCCGGTCCCACCGTCCTGAGCGCCGGCGCCGGAGCGGCCGCGTGCAGCACTACTGAGCGGGACGCGGCTCCGGGCCCCGCGGCCCCGCCGCTCCGGCCTCGCCCCGCCCCGCACCGCCTCCGTACGCCCCGCTCCGCGCGTCAGACCTCGCGACCCTTCGGCAGCTGCTGCAGACGCGTCTCCACGTGAGTATGCTGCTCGGAGAGCGACCGGCGGCCTCCCGCCTGCTCCCGTTCCCGTATCCCCTGCTGTAGGACGGTCACAAAACGGCCGACCGTAGCGAAGCGCCGTGCACGGCCGGCTGTGAGCTCGCAGACGATCAGGGACGCTTGGCAGCGAGCCCTGAGAAAGAAAAAGACTCAGCCGTCAGCAGCGGGCCCAGCCCGCGGTGCTCGGCGGTGGCCCCGGACGTGGGGCGCACGGCAGCTCCTCCGCAGCCGCGATCGGCCCGGGCTCAGATCTTCGTTTTGCCACGGCCGCGTGGGGCCGGGGCCTCTCGCTCTGGCCTCGCTACGCCTCCCCTCTCCTCGGCAGCTGGCAAACGGAGGTCGCGCGGAGCCCGGCGCTGCGGTTCCTCTGCTGTGCGCGGCGACCTCGAGTGGCGAACGTCCTGGCTGCCCCCGGCTGGACGCTGGCCGCGGTCCGGGCGGCCCCTGCGCGCCGTGCTGAGCCGCGCCCCGCTGACGGGTGGATGCTGCTGCCCGCCTGCGGCGTGGAGCGGGTCTCTCGTTTTTGCCTCGTAGCTGCTACAAGAGGCGTGCCCGTCCCCTCCGGCGCTCTGGAGGGAAGCACTGAACTCTGGCGTAGCGCAGCATGAGAGCTGATGCGTAAAGCTGACCTCAGCCTCCTTGTGAGCTCGCTCCAGAGTTGAATGCATGTCTTGGAAAAGTCTGTTGCTGTAATAAGTTATTGAGAAATGCCTATCTGACCTGTGCTGCTTTTTCAAGTTTCTGCTGTAGAACAAAGCTACATCATGGCAGCAAAATGGCAATTTTTAAGTAAGTGTTAAAATGTACAACTTTTTGTATTGTAAAATAATGATTACCTAACCCCATTGAAATGCAATTGCCATAGTAACAAGTATCAGTATTGCCGCTCTCTGTCTGGGTCACATGTATGCCCTGACCTGCTTTGCACTGCATTTGATGGATCTTGTATTTTCTAGTTGGATGGAATGGTGACTAACGGTAGGTTTTGTACTGTCAGCTTGTATTTTTTATTTGTACATATGTAAAGTATTTCTTGTCCAAAGACTCATTTCTGGTTTTAAGGCACCATATCGTATTGCTGGGATAATGAGCACAAAATACCTTAACGTTCAGGATAGTCTGATTCCAGTTCTTTGCTTCAACTTCTTCCAGTCAGGTAATCATTTTCTAAAACTGCCTCTGTAAAGCAAGGCTGTGTGATTTGAAAGCACAGGCAGATTCAGTTGCAGGTGTGTCATAACTTGGTCAAAAGAATTAAAGCTATTTCATTTGCATCAGCTCTAGAGGTTTGAGTGACCCCCTGGAAGTGCTCATTTACTTGAAGGTTGCAGCACCATTTGTAGTTCTTATTTATCCTGCAGGAAAGCAAAGCCAGACCTCACTGCCAAGCTTCACAAAGGCTGGATTGATGATGCCGACATCGACAAATGAACACACCATGGCAGCCTGGTCATTTGGCTCAGGTTCACTTGAAGTTCAAATCCACTCTATGCTGTAGTAGTATGCCCATATCATCCATCTTTTGTCGTTCTGTGTTTCTGCTTGTAATTTGTCCTGTAGTTTTCTGCGGCATCCATTCATAGCTTCTCCTGTAGAGCAGTGGGTGCTGCAGGTAGGTGGAAGCTGGCTGTGCATCCTCACGGCTTTGGGACGGCAGAGCTGCAGACAGCCAGCGTTCCCCATTGCTGGTGGCAGGGGAGCGAGGGCTGCGGAGACAGTGCCAAGCTTGAGGGTCAGCTTTTGCTACCAGGAGATGGGGGCATATCTGGAGGAGCACCTTGCCCACCACCTCGCCACATGCCCAGGGCAGCACCGACCGCACAGCGGTGAGGAGCAGCTTTGGGCACTGCCAGGCTCTGATCTGAGGGAGCTCTCCCTGAGGATGTCTCAGGGGAAACAGGCTTGCAGCGCTGAGTCCCTTCCCATGAGATGTAGCTTAGAGCAGGTGAAACTTGTGCTTTTGTGTAGCTTAGCCTTCTCAAGTAGTAAGTTCAGCTTTTTCCTCAATGACCTACAAGAAACACTGGATGGCTCAAAATGTTGACAGGACAGGCAGCTGACACAAGCATCTAAGAAATCTTCAGGATATATTTGTATAGTTGGTTCTCCTTCTCTCTTCTCTTTCACTAGCCTAGCAAATCTACTTAAGGGATGTGTCTGCAAATCAATTTGGAAGATAGAATAGTTTGAGTCTTCGCAGTGTTTCTGCACTGTGGCACTGCAAAGATAGCTGTTCCTGAAAGTATGAAAAGTGTGACTGCAGTTCTCTGTGTATGAGCGCAGTAGGGATGTCCTGAGCACTGAAGGCCAGTTGTGCTCTCAGCCATGCTAACCAGTCTAAAAAACTATTGGCATTTCCAAAGGGAGAGAGCTCAGAGTCTCCCCTTAGAAGCATGGTGTGATACAGCACAGCTTGGCTGGTTTTATGTGTCATTTTTGTGATCCACTGATTTTCGGAAGCTTTCTTGCTGCATCTCTGCATCCCCAGGCTGTGGGTACCAGATCAGTATTTCCACAGGCAGTTTTTTACTGTTCTGCCACTTTTGTACTCTCAGTGGCTCATTGCAAGGCTGGTCCTTGCATGCTTGCAGCGATACGCTGGAGCCCGCACAAGCATCTCTGCATCTTCCTCCCTGCTGGTCCAACATGCAGTGTGCTAGCACTGCCCAGGGAGTCAGTGTTCAGGCAGCCTGCTTCTGATGTTTTCTGGCTGAAGAGAAGCCTTCTGAAGCAGATAGGGATGGGATTTGTCAGCAGGCGGCAACAGGAGTGGATTTGCAGAGCTGTGCCAGATGTGTTCGGCTACCTTGTCTCTTTTTCTAGAACAAAGCTAGATACCAGCTAGCTTAATGTTGTGGCTAATGGAGAAATTAGTTTGCTGGATTATCCACCAGATTTGTATCTCTGCAAGAAATAGAAAAGCAGCAGAGGTTTACTTACTGTACAATATACCTTCTGATGTGAATTAGGAGAGGTTTGCTGCCTCCTGGATTTCCCTCAGCAAAGAGCCTGCTGGGGTGACTCGTGGACTATCGAGGACACACAGTGATGTCTAATGTGTTAATTATGGAAAGGCAAGATATTAGTGCAGAAAGTAATGTAGAGCGTGAACTTTGTGATCAGGTGTGGACGGACCTAGCAGATGTCTTCCTGTGGGAGTGTTTCCTAGCTGTAGTTTGTAGAAATAAGCTTCGTCAGACTTTTCTCCTTTGACTGTCACTGCGGTTACCCGCTGTTTGTAGGAGAGGGTCCTCTGGGAGCCTCCTGTGCAGTAGGGCGTTGGTGGTGGTCTGGAACCTTGGGTTGTTTGGCGTGGCACCTGGTGGCACCTGGCAGGGCCGCTGCAGCTCTCCTTGCCCCTTTCCCAAGGGCGGCACAAACAGCTGCATAAGATGGAGCCTGCAGCACGTGGTTGACCGGCGTCTGTAGAAGAGATAACATCCTTGCTGCGCTCAGCCCACGGCTGGCTGGGCGAGGGCCTGGCGATGGAGTCCCAGCCCCACGGCCGCCGTGCCCCGCTGCCCTCCTCCCGCAGCGTGCCCGCATCGAGCATCGGCTCGGCGCCGGCCTGGGCCAGCGAGGATCCCGGCGCCGGGGCGGCCGCGCGGGGTCGGTGTTCGCTGTACTGAGCCGTGAAGCCGGCAGTGCTGCAGGTAGGGAGGTGCTGCCTGCTAAGGGAAAGGCTCTGTGAGGGGCCTCTCGCTTCGTTCGGTGCAGGGAACCCAAACGGTTTGGATATTTCGGTCAGTTATTGTAAAATTGTTCCCAAACAGCAACAGTTTTAAATGCCGTCAGACAAAAGGAGGAGAGAAACCTTTTATGCAGTTGGCAAGTGTTGTTTTGAGATGCTATGCATTGTGTTGGGTTATTGAAAACAAATTTACTGTGCATTAACCTAATGAATGTTACTACCTTTTATATTTATTTTAGATGACTCTCCTGTATTTTACAAAGGGAAGTTTCATTGTGTGATAACAGTCTGTACTCTTAATATAATTTGTTAAATAAAATCTGTTATGATTGGTTTATTCTCTGTTTTGTGTATGTGTTAATTTTGGAGCTTAAGCTTACAGTGCCATAACTGCTCATGGGAGCAGAAGCACTCGGCCCTGGGACCAGTCTGCTGGTTTTGGCTCCTCACCACCGCTGCATTGGCCTCTTTGGATCCCAAACCTGGAGTTAGAATGTGTCAGGAAGAATAAACATCAGTCAGTGCTATTCTGAACTCTGCTACAATGCAGCGGTTTTAACTGTAGCACCTGGAACTATTTTTATTTCTTGGTAAGATTACAGGTTAGTTTGATACAATTAATGTTTACTTACAGTAAAAACAGTGTTTTCTTTGACTTCGGTGCAGCATTTGATACCACGATGAATACTTGTTCAGGAGTTAGAACAGTACAAGGTTAGCATCCTAAGTGAGTAAGAAGCTGGGCTTCTGGCCAGGTGGATGTTTCCAGCAACATCCTGCAGTGGTGAGTTTTCTCACCTCCCCATCCCATGATTTTGAGGAAGTTGAAGAAAATAGAAAATCATTACTCATAAATGTCCCTGGATGGGAAGGTCTCAGAGAGGAGCAGGTATTGTAGGCTTGAATACAGGGGACTCACAAAGGAGCTTTTCTCTCTGTCCCAGCTGCACATCACTATTTCCTTCTGCTTGGTGCTAACAGGGACTTTCTGAGCGGTTCTGGTGGGACGCAAAGGCTGAAATCAGGTACAGCCTTTGCTGTGCTCCCAAGCTACCTGGGAGAGCGAAGGACACTGCAAGAGATGTGACTGAGTTCAGGCACAGGACATAAACCATGGGAGCAGAGGAGTCACTGGCGGTCGGACCAGGAGCTGTGAGCCTTCTGATGAGCTGCAGAGCTGGCTGCTCCTGGCTGCCCGTGGCTGCAGAGGTGATGGCATGAACCTCATGAAGGTAATTTGCTTTTGTTTGTGTTGGTTTTTATCCTTGTAAACCAATCTGAAATGTCTGCTAAATTCTATGCTGCAAAGTCAAAAAATCAGAAGTCAAAATATCTTGACTTCAGCATTTTCTGGAGGGGAAAGGACCATACATGGCAAATACACTGCTGCACAGGCAGCGTTCCAAGTGCGTGTGGCAGTGAGTTCAGTACAATAGATGCAGGCAAAGTTAGTGGAACAACTCATTTATCTTCTATGAAGTGCTCAGGCAGGGCCAGGAGCGGCTGGCATTGCAGCAGTGTGCAGCAGGTGACAGCAGTGTGCAGCCTGAGCGCAGCATGCAGCTTGTGGGACTGCAGGGCACCTCGCAACTACAGCCACAGACCCCATCTGCAGTGATCTGATAGCAGGGAGAGCCCTGGGCCTCAGGCAAGGCCTTCTCTTGGAGGGAGCAGTAGCTCCGGGGCTTGGTGCTGGCACAGCATTGGGGTTTGGTGCTGGTGCAGAGATTCTGGTAACTGCGTGGGCTCAGAGCAACCCTGCTGGGCTCAGGGCTCCATAGTCTCATTTTTTACAAATATTATAAACTGGGATTCTGCAGAAGTAAACAGGGTTTTATAATCAGCTCTGAAATACAGCTGTATTTTAAGAGAGGCAGTTAAGGATGGATGTGTGAGTTACAGGGAAGGTGCCATGCTTTTACGACCCATGCTCTGCTCTGTGTGGCCCTGCTTCGTGCTCTCTTTGTCAAATGCTGCTGCTGGCGAGCGATTTAACAGCAGCGGGGGGATGCGACTGGGAAGGCTGCAGCTCCAGTACCGCTGTCAGCATGGTCTGCAGGGCAGAGCTGCCTCCGCAGCAGGGTGAAGGCTCAGAGCGAGGCAGGATGGGGACAGGATGATGCCCAGCATGGGGAGGTGCAGGCAGCAGTGCAGGCAGTACACAGCAGGGGCAGGGCTGCTCTGTTGGTTGGGCAGGGGGTCCTGGCCCCATGGATCCCAGCACAGGTGGTCCTGGCAGCTCTCTCCCTTTTGCAGGCACCCCGGGGGCACAATGGACTTCTCGATGGGGGAGAGGTTCACGTCACACCGTTAGAACTCAAGTTTGTTATTCGTTCTGCTGTTATTTTTCTGAACTTGACTCAGCGGTGGTGCACACTGTGACCTCTGGCATCTTCTCTCCCCCCAGCCAATATCCCCATCTCGCATACTTTGAGCGCCCTTTGAATTAAAGGAGATTAATTCCCAAGTTCCCGACATGCTCTTCAGGCACATGTTTTTATAACCTCCTAAAGCAAGTGCCCCTGGTTCCGCCAAACTAGCTCAGCCCTAAGCTGCAGGCACTGGGAGCTACTGCTGCCCCCCAGGAGAGCACCCTGCTGCACGCACCCACGGCCTGCCTGCTGGCTGGGGATGCAGCAGGCATAGGCTGGCAGCAGCCGTGGGGTGCGATGTCACAGGCTGCTGGGCTTTGTGCTGCTGTGGCTTTTGTTGTTGTTTGTTTTCTTTGCCTCTTCTCCCTCCTACAGCTTCAAGAATTAACTCGCCCTGGGAATATCTCCAAATCCTTTCCCTTCTTCGAAGTGATGGATAAGCCATGTAACTGATTGCCGTGGCCTCGGAGAGGGTAAACATCTTCTGCAGCTTAAAATGAAACTTTCTCACTCCTTGGTTAATGAGTGTTGAAAGAAGCATAAATAGAAATAACACAGGATTTCCATGACTAACAGGATGACCGCATCAGTGAATGTTGTCGGGGTTAAAAATGACTCAGCTTTTGCTTCCCCAGGGTATGATGTTTTATCCCGCGGCAGGAAGGGCTGCCAGCAGCACTTTGAAGGTCTGGCACAGCCGCCACGGCTTGGATCGTGAACTGGGAAGTGTTTGAATGCACTGGGAAAAAAAGGAAAGTCCTGAACTCTGCTCCATGTGTGCAGATTTCGCGAAGATAAAGGAGCCCACAGCTTTATCCAGCCATGCTGACTCTTTTCTTTTCCAAAGCCTTTTCAGATGTTTTCACTTTTCTGCTTGCTTTGTTGAAAGATGTAAAAATTTAAGACAACCACAAAGTAAACATTTCAAAACTTTCTATTCTGAAAATTAGCGACATTTTCAAAATCCCCCAAATTCTGTTTCTGCTTGATCCAAAATGAAGATGTTTGGCATTTCTTTGGTTGGCGGCAGATGTTTGTTTGTTGAAAACCTTTCTTCTATTTTTCCAAGAAAACAGATCAGTTATTCAGTAGAAACACCAGATAAGTCGATGTCTTGTCAAAATAAAGCAGGTTTTCCTTATTAGAGTGAAATAGTAATGAACTCATCTGCTTCCAATATTTATAAAGAGTAGAGAAGCCCATTAATTCTACTGCTTGTGAATAAAACCATCTGTGATTTCTTTCCATTTGATGTGTTTTGGTTTTAATATACATTTTTCACAAATAAGTGTAGGGATTTTTTGTGAAAATGTCACATTCAGAATCTCATAAAGAAGGAACGCAAAGAGGGGGAAACGAAATGTTTTGTTAGCTAAGTAATTTCTCACCTTGTGCAGAGAATAAAATTCATGCCAACTTTAACACATTAGGCGACAGAATTACATGTTCGGCTCTAATGCAATCCGTGACTCGTAACGAGGCAAATAGAGTAAGTTTGGAAGTTTGTTTTCCTTTGGGAATCACACAGTACATCTAACCTAATCTGTCCTGACACTTGAATCATGACACTGTGAGCTTCTTCAGGGGAGCAAAATGGTCGATGCCTCTTTCTAAAGCCACGCAGACATCGATAACGCGGGCGACGCGTCGGGGCGGAGCGGCCGATGGCAGCGCGGGGCTCAGCGCCGTGGGTCCCGGCCTGCAGCTCTCGGGTGCCTCATGACAAACTTCTACCAGAGCGAAATTTGACCTCTAGAATTATGCTCCATTAAACCAAAACGTGAGAACGCCCCACGTGGGACCGCTTTGTAGTTTGACTTGTGAGTGTTGGAGCTTAAATTAAAATGAGTATTCATCCAGCTGCTCTGCCCTGTTTTTTTACAGCCTTCCCCCCAGCCCGTACTGCAGAGGCAGCTCCGTGTCACGGTTTCCAGCAGCTCACCCAGCCCTGCCAGCCGCCCCCACCCCACGGACCCCCGCGGGGCCCTGCAGGGCTCTGCCCGGCCGTGGGACCCTCAGCGCTGCTGCGGTGGCTGTGGGGTGAGCGCGGCGCGATGCGGTGAGGCTGCGCTGCAGAGGGTGCAGCGATCAGAGCCCCCGGGTGTTACCTCTCCTGCTGCTGAAAAAAGCACATCTCCTTGTTGGTTTTTTCCTCTCCTTTTTTTTTTTTTTTTTTCCCCAATCATCAATAAAATCTTACTTTGGATAACCTAAAGCTTTTCTTGGAAGGTGAGGCCACAGATCACAGCAGTGCTGGATGCAGCTTCTGCATGGTGCTTTCGGCTGCTCCCAGGGGGACCAGCAGCCAACCTGCTGATCACGCACACAGCGATGTGTGCACTGGCACAGACTGAAGATGCTGTCCCGGCTGCCGTGCACCTCTCGTGCTGTGCCTCTCATTGCTGCACTCGCTGCTGCCCGGCCTGCACTGCTCTCTGCTGTTTCCACAGCTGTTGGTTCCTCAATGTGGCAAAGGCCAACCACAGGTAAGAGGAGTGCTTGTCTCTTGGGAGAGTTTTCATACCTATGTGCAGCAGCTGCCACTCTCCTTTGTGTAGTTTGTGCTTTTGTTGTTTTTATTGTTTAAATGAAGCTTTCAGCTGCCTGGACTTCAACTTTACCAAAACTCAGTGTACTAATGGAAGGTTCTTGATGTGTTTTATTAGATATCTATCATTCCAGTCTGGATACAGGGACAGCGTTTTGCAGAATGCACTGCACTGCCAGAACTGCAGCCGCTGCTGGCTGTGGGCGCTTCCTCCCCCCACAGCCCCTCGCTCAGCCCCATCCATGCAGGGCTGGCGGTGCCACTGGGAGCGCCTGGGGAGCGCTGTGTTGCTGCATGCAGCCATCGAGGGCTCTGCCACGTCTGAGCCATGCAGTGCCACCGCCCCCAGCTGTGCTCCTCAGAGGTTGTGCTGGAGGTGGGCACAGTGCCCACAGGGGCGATGAAGCGTGAAGGAAATGGAGGCGGGGGGCTGAGGCACCACGAGGTCACGTTAGGTCACCTTGCAGGGGAGCGCTGCCAGCTCCCAGCAGGAGTGCCGGGAAAGACGTTGCTCAGACAGCAGCCAGGAGCCCCGCGCTGCAACGTGCTGCAGTCCTGTGGCAGCAGCTGTGGGCTCACTTGGGTGGATGGATGGATGGACAGACGCAGTGCTCCCTGCGGGACCTGAGGAAGGCCAGTGTAAGGGCTGTGCTCGGTCCAGCTAAGCACTGAGGGCATGGGGACGTTTCCTGTGACTGAGTTGTGCCTGAATTGCTCAAAGGTTTTATGCTCTCTCACAACCCCTGGCAGCTGCAGGCAGGAGCCAGCTGATGGACTCAAAGATCTCAATGCAAACTTTTTTGCCTGTTCTACCTCTGAATTCCATTTTCTGCCCAAATGCCTACTTGTATGAAACTTGTAGGAACTTAATTATCCTTGAGACTTCTGCTTCTCTATGAAATCTGGTTCAAATCAGTTTAAAAAAAAGAGTTCAAAGTCGTTGGGCAGGCTGGGCAGACAGACAAGCACGCAGGGATCACAGGAGCCTTGTTTTTGTAGGAAACGAGATTAAAAAGATCCCACGGCAGCACGGAGCTCCGTCGGTGCGCCCCCGGCAGCGCTGGGTGTGGGGCTCAGCTCGGCGCAGCCGCACGGCCGCACTCACACCGGGAGCGTCAGCCTCAGCCCTGCTGCTGCTCCCAGCTGGACGCAGACTCAGAGCATCCCTGCTCTCTCTGCAATGCAGACCTGTACTTAATTTCTTCTGAAAAGGGCCCTGAGGAAGTCAGCAGATGTTATTATTAAAGCACTGAGTATCAGCAGCTCCTGAGATATTGTCAGTTCGTTAATGAGCTGATCAAACTGTGGAAAACAAGGGGTTTCCCAGCCTCCTATTAAGGAAAATAAGACCTCCAAGGTTAAAAGACTTCTTTTAAGCTGCACCAGGTTTATTGGTTGCCTAGCGCTCTTTAATCAGTGTGTTCTTAGAAGGCCCTTGCTGTCCAGGCACAGGAATGGGCGCTATCCCAGCCGGTCCCCAGAAGGAAACTGAGCCGCTCCGTGCTGGGAGCGTTCGCTGACATTTTGCTTGCCAATATCTTCTTAACCATTCCCTGCAGTTATTGCAAATATTTGGTGAATTCTCTGCGTATCCCTGCCAGCAGCTCTGCCTGCAGACTTCTGCTGATTTGTGAATTACTGTTTCCCCGTTTGAAAGTTAAGCTCATTTGCCTATCAACACATTTGTATTCTGCTTGGCAACCGCTGCATCTCAGAAGTTTCCCAGGGCTGCAGAAGACACAAAATGCGTGAGTGAGAAATGGCCTTGAACCCGAGACTGCCTGTGTCTTCTCTGCACCGTCTCACTCCTGAATCGTTCCTGTGTCGGGGGATGCACCAGCTCAGCTCAGACAAAAGCAATGGGAAATGGGAGCCCACTCTATTGGGTCTTTTGCTTCATGCTACGTTATCTGGAAACTCCCTTGGGGTTGTTCAACTGCAGGGATATTTAGGATTTAGACAGTGGTGCTGATGAGATTAGAGTAGCTAGGAGTGTAGGAATCAGTAACCATTTGTTACTTCTGTAGTTCAACAGAAGATCACAACTTGCCTTAAAGGCACCTTACCACTACTGCCATGTGAGTCAGGTCCCAGGCCTGGCCAGGAAAACCCTCATCTCGGGCAGCTTATTTGTATCTGGAAAGTAATTAGGTAAACGGCTATGGAGAAATGATCAGACAAAGAAAATACAAAGAAGGCTCATTTTTATCTCCTCCACCTACTGACTGATGTGAGGAATAAAGAAAGGAAAATAACAAGCATCCGCACAGGCAGTGTGTGTGCAGCAGCGCCGGTGCGGCCCCGGCCCAGGGAGCAGCTCCACGCGGGGCAGCAGCGCACGGCACAGCAGCTCAGTGAGCACCAGGGACGGTTATTTCTGCACAGATGGATTTATGCTGTCAGATAAGCAGCGACTGCTTAAATATGTCTTTTGCTATGCAACACTGAGGACGGGACACATAGATAAATTAACCCTGAAATAGAGGGTATGATTTTGAAGATGGAAAGGATTGTGCGTCTCTGTTGTGTTTCAGTTGGTTATGTCTACAGGCATCTCCTGAGCTGCAGCTCCATGGAACGTTTCTGACATTACCAATCATTTTAATCATAACCTGTGTCATTCACTGAATGACAGGCGCCACATTTACAGGTGCCAATAGACAAACAGCCACCAAATTATGCCTCAGCATCCAAGAAACACCACTCCATCCTGCCTGCCCAGCCCTGCGCCTTCCCCTGCTCTGCCCCAGGTGGGCTCCTCTGTGCTGCACAGAGCAGGACCCCCTGGCAGAGCTGGGGAGCAGAGCCTGGAGTCCAGCAGCACTTCTTCAGCCCTCATTCTGAGGTCACTACGGAACCAATGGGCCCCAGCTGAATCAGGAGCATTGAGTCTGTGCTGATGGCCAGCAGGTGTCCTTCTGTGTTCTGGATCATTTGTGATGGCTTCAAACTATAACATGTAATAAAGAATCAAAAAACCTCAAAGAAAACGTGGCAAAACAACCCAAAGAGCTGAGCTCCAGGCCTGCTCATGGCAGAGGGCGCTGACGCACGTGCCAGGATTGCTGCCAGCTGTGGTGCCAACACCCACAAGGCCCACCAGGTGCACGTGGCCAGGCTGGGATCTTTAAGTGAAAACTGAAAAAAAAAGCTGTCCTCTGGGTGGGAGGGTGGCTAGTTCATTTGCCCTCATCTACTTCAGGTGTGGAGCTGATTAGCAGCCATTTGCAGGATGGCTCTGTTAGGGCTGCTGCTTTTTTCCAAACTGTGAGTATCAGTTCTATTTTTTCATCTTTAGAAGTGCCTTTGTAATTAGCCCGGAATTCTTCAGGAAGAGGCAAAGGCTGTGCTGCTTTGGGTTAGATTGTTTTGTTAAATCTCAAAAAAACCTGTTTTTCATTAAAGGAAGTGCGTTGGCTTCTGGGGAAATGGCTGAAGACCTTTCCCCTTCCTGGTGTTTGGAGCATTGTGCGTGTTTGAATTTGATTTTCTTTTCCATTTAAGCATTTGAAGCTTGGCTGCCTTTGTGGTTCTGTGAAGCTTGGAGTGCATTGAGGAGAGGGATGTTTGCTGCAGGCTGTGGGAACCCTGGCTCTATGGGTGCTTAGGAGCCTGCCCAGTAGCTGAGCAGCCCAAGAGTGTTGTGCAAATGGGTGCTGGGGGGGGAAGGTTGTTTTCCTGGGAAATGTTGAAAAGCTG